ATGCAAATGACTGAACTATCGTGGAGAAAAAATAGGTAGGATTTTATCAATCCTGTGTCCTTAAAATTAAGTTTATTTCTTTATTTTCTTTTGTTTAATTTATCTATGTAGTTTTCCCAAATACATTTTTTAAAAATGCAATTCTATAGTGGTTATACATACGCACACATATACAGTATATAATACGTATATATATATGTATTCCAGTCTGGGAATTAAATTGTTGTTTAACACAGTGGATGCACATGGATTTTGACACCAGAGACCTCAGGTTGTATCCTGCACTTGATTATTGTTTAAAAAAAGACTATGGTTAACTATTGAAATAGATAATGTGTTCTATCTCATGCTTTACGCCATTGCTGATTTCAATATTTAAAGAAAACGTCTAATCTTAAACAGGTGTTTGAGTTGCTTAAGTGTAATCAAAACGTCAGTCACGTGTTTGTTGCAGGAGCTGATATTCTTAGAGGATACAGCCATTTAAAATGTTTTCTCATTATGCAATTTGAAAAGCAAAGGCATGTTTTCTACAACCTATTTGGCACTAAACGTATGTGAACATGTTTTTCAAGAGTTTATTTATTTTTTGCTGTGATACAAAAATCTCAATCAGTGTGTTTCCCCTAACTAGTGCAACACAAACAGACTGTAATAACCACCCATCCATTATCTATACTGCTGATTCCTGAATAGGGTCGTGGGGCTGGAGCCACTCCCAGCTGACACTGGATGAGAGGCGGGGCCCACGCTGGACAGGTCACCAGTCTGTCACAGATGTTCACATGTTGACAATGAACCACACACACTCACAGTCACCCCTATGGGCAATTTAGAGTCACCAGTCAACCTAAGCTGCATGTCTTTGGACTGTGGGAGGAAGCCGGAGAACCCGGAGAGAACCCACGCAGGCACAGGGAGAACATGTATATTCTGCACAGAAAGGCCCTTGGCCGGCCCAGGCTCAAACCCGGGACCTTATTGCTGTGAGGCGACAGCGCTAACCACTGCGTCACCATGGTACCCCTTTGGAATAATGGTGTTCCATTGCTGCTTCCCATCTAATATACTAGTTTGAGTATTTTGTGCTTTCAGAAATTTGTCTCCTGTGTTTACACACACCATGTGGAGTTTTGTCTGTCTCCATTTTCCTTTTTCTGTCTGGCTTTCTGATGTATCTGGCAGGTTAGGGGTTTGTAACTGAGGGTGGCATCAACATTTCTGCATTTCACTGAGTTGGCTATTTCAGGTTTATGATTCACTGGAAAGTTTCATTGTATCAGTATGTGGAAGCTTAACTCAGAGGTGAGGCTCTTTTTTATGGTCCATTAAATGCTCTTATTTAAATATTGGTAAAAATGATTAGGTGTTGTTAATGAAAAAAACCTTAATGCAAAAAACATTAGCACCAAATGTCAAATGTTAAATCGGGGGATTTGTGCGCCACATTACAGATCGGTTACAGTTCATTTCTCATACTTATTTATTCACATGTGCTTTTCTGTGAATGGATGGGCTTCAGGGCCTGATAAATCTGATATGGGGCCCTGGAACCAAAATAAATAGTGAGTGCCCACCCCCTTAGTAACTTTGAGATATTTTAATTTCACTGAGATTATTTTGATTCATGTTCAGGAATGTTCAACATGAAAGCCTAAAAAGTATTAAAGGTCGATATCAGGACGTGGCCTCTCAACAACACAGTGGTTAGAGCACAAAAACCACCTTAACCTTTTAATTTATAACTATATAAAAAGTGAACACATTTTATCTAATCAGTTTACCATAATGTACTGCCAAAAAGTGAAGGCAAAATTCCACTGTTGTAGATTTTAACATGTGTAAGCAGATCTGTAACTTACTTCATGCAAAAAGTGTCTCTAAACCTTTCTGAATTAAGCAATGCAGGCGCTGTGTCTCATCCTCGAGCCCAGTAATAGTAATTTTCATTTCCAGACTTTTAGTAAAACCCACCCATGCAGCTGCAGGAGCTCTTGTTGCCCTGTTTTGTCTTAATGGAAAAAAGAGCTCTGTGGGACGGTGCATTAGCTGGGTTCACCTTTGCTCAGCAGTATGGCTGCAGAGTGTCTCATGCAGTCGGCTCTGATGAGGAGACAGAGTGCGGAGGCTGTCAGGCTGCATCACCCTGATACTGAAACATCAGTCAGAATCAGGAACAAATGCACTGAAGGAAGAGTTACAACTGTTGCTCGCACTCGCCTTGTCAGCATTGCCATGCCGTAATTCAAATTACAGCAGAAAGTGCCTCACTGAAGTTTTCAACTTGTGTAGTAATGGCAGACTTTTTCAATACAACTACTAATATTATGCTTGATGTTTGGTACAGGTAATAATATTCAACAGTTTTTTCAACACTTCGAGCACAAACCCATGGACGCCACACATATATCACCTCAGAAATGATATGTTAGTTTCATAATGCTTGACTGTTACAGTACACAGCTATAGAAATGACTGATTTGTATCATCTAAAACAACGTTGAGTTCATTTTTGATCTTGACCTGGGCTGTAAATACTCATGTCATTAATGTTCAGTGCTTTTAATGGTTAGTTAATTATTCACTAATGTTAATTTCTGGGAGCCAGGTTGTAAAATATAACATTTTCAGGTGGCGCTCATCCTCCTTGTGCATGACTCTGGTGTTTGTAGCTTTTTACTTAATCAAGAAGAGCTTCCAAAAGACAGAGCAGCTAGATCTTCTGGAAAAGAGCTGCGGCATAGAAACTAATCTCTGTTTATGAACAACATCGTAACATTTACAGCTGCTAAATTGGATTATTATTATTATATTAACATAAACAAGTGTGGCAGAGATTTCTGCAAAAGAGTTTGAGGGGTTTTTCGTTTTTGTTTTTTTGCAGAACCCATGGGAATGTTGCGTCATGACAGGTGTATTTGCTCTGCGGATTTCTTGTTTGAAAATTGAAAACCCAATAGCCTTAATATAACTGTAGACGAAAACACTAACAGAGATACAATATCAATAATAACAGCTAATTTAGAATAAGAAAACACAGAGTGAAAACTACATACTGTACATATGTACAGTCAACACATAGATGGTTCAAATAACCATGAATGTAAAATATAAATTTAGAGCTTCAGCTATTCTTCAGTGTCTGTCATTTAGTTTTATTCCTTCATGTTAAAATAAACACTGAAAAAGTGCAGTGAAGAGAGAACTGCTGAAATAAAAAGCACTGCATCAAATTCTACTTTAAATCAGGAAATACCTGATCACAAAATACGTTAACAAGATCTGACCAGGAATCTGATGCCAAATGTGAATACCTGACTGTTTTCAATGTTCACCGAAATTGGAAAACTCAGTCTTTAGTTATATGATCAGGAACTACAGAAACATGCAATTCAATTTATTCATTTACTTGCTCAGTTACGGTCTTGTAAAATAAATCCTTATCTCTAAGTCGGTTAAGTATCTTTCCCAACTGCTGAAGGCTGAGTCACCCCAATACAGCTGTCAGCACAACACGTGCAATAATCATGCTGCTCGTAGCTGAAGAGCCCGGGTCTTTGGAGTGCCATGAAAGCTGAGACTCCACCTAGAGAACTGTGGAAATTGAGTCACTAGCTGGTGGACTGAAGTGCTGCTTGTAATGCTGTAGCCAAAGCCAGCTCTATACCCACACTGTGCCTGCTGCATCCGTCACTGCTGTATAAAATCAAACCTTTTGTTTGTTTGCAATTCTGCACAGAATTGTGGGAAACAATCTAAAGTTGAGCCCTCAGTGTTGCAGTACTGTGGCTTTCAATGCAGTTTCACATGATCCTCTGAAGGCTGTTTACAACTAGCAAAAATGACATACTGGAGGAAATGCTGCATTGTTTTCATTTGTTTTGGCCCAGAAACAGAAAACAGGAAAGTGAATATCTTAACAATCAGCCAGCGGCTTCACTGCAAGAAAACGCAGGCCTCATGAAGTTAAATCTGACAGAGGTTATATGAGGTTTTCTGAGAGAAAATACAAATTACTTTTTGAATTTAGGATTTGTCTTTATTTGTGGTGATTGATCATATTAAAGCATCTTATTAACCACAATATACCAGAGCACATCATCTGTTTTTTCCACACTGTTATGCAATTCCTTGTCAGTAAGATGCTATGATGGCTTTTTACACGTGGGAAAGTGAATATGTAAGCTACAGTGCAAAGCAGAGTGAAGGCTGCAGTACATGGGCTGCATGCTTGTGGACTGACTGCCAGTGGAATAACGTGCAGTCTCATGGTTCCCTGTGGAGCTTCTGTGACAGTATGCAGCCCACTTTATCAAACCTAACAAACCTAAACCTTTCTAGTCAAATTAAAACGAGTCCATCTCCAGAAACTTGAATGCACATCAATGCAATCTGTTTATTAAGTAAGAAAACCAACCTTTTAAAAAAAATTGTATTATCCACTTAAATAATGATTTGATTTTATGTGAATTTTATTTCTCAACATAAAAGTCTTCAATTATGTTTCCAAGGCTTCTCCACACTGTCTGAATAATATTCTGATTCGTTATATGTCGTGTAAACGTACTTAAATTTACATGTATTGGTTTAAAAAATGCTGGAATCGAGTATGTACACGCCAGTTTTACAGGAGGTTTCCTCGGGACAGTGTAACTGTTAGTGACACAAACAACGAGGAACAGAGCTGCACAACACATCACAGATGCGTCGAATCGTTGATTTCCCCATTTGTCCCTGATCTGCTCTGATGCCAGATCATCTCAGATTACCATTAAATGTCAGAAGTACCGGTTACCTTTTAAAAATCATAGGTCGAAAATATTGTTATTAATGTCATTTAAACGGGGGTTCGGCACAAACGGGAATTTAGCCGATGTTTTTATTTTTAGATCCCTCCCAATTATCAGTCTTGTTCCAAATCCCGTTTTAAATGAAACCGACCAGAATCTCTCCACCATCAAGAAATAATGAAATCACACACCGAGTTGATTATGTTTCTTTTATATTTTAAGGTATAGTCGTCTTTTTATGGTCTTCTTATTTGAAACTAAAATGACACAAAATGCACATTCATCTGTGACGACGCTGCGCTCGGCCTCTGGCTGTTCTGAGCGACGATTAGTGTCACAGCGGAAAAACAAATATCTGAGTTACAATATTTAATATCCATAAAATGACACATATAACATTAAGATAGATTCGGATATGTCAGTCAGTCCACCGGTCGTCACGTCCCCGGCGTGCGTAACATGACCAAAAACCAAAAATTAAATTAAATATAAATAGGATCAATCATAAAATGTAGATATGTACAACTGTGCAACACTTCTCATCACAGCACCAGCATGTAGTCGAGTCCACGTCACTTTCCACTATATGAAGGCTACACGCACGTGGCCATGGCGGGTCGCCTGTACTATCAGCTGTCCGAGTCCACCTCGCTTTTACTCCCCTCGGTTTTCTCCGCGGGAGGTTTGGTCGATTTGTTCCATTTCTGAGAGTTCTCTGATTCCTCTGATGAAGACCTTTTCTGCCTCCTCCACTTCGCGCGTCTGTTTTTGAACCAAACCTACATGATAAAGAAAAGCACAATTTCAATATTTAAGACCGAAACGTTTGTCATTGTTTTCAACTCTGGGCATGATGTCCCCACTAGAGGGACAGTGGTCACCAGGCGATTTGAGTCATCGCTTCTGGCCTTAAAATGACCAACTAACAGTTTAAATAGCAACATATTGTGTCTGCCTGGCTCAGCTGGACCTGCAGTACCACAGAGGTGTTCCAGTCCAGCTGGAGTCTGAGCCAACGTTCAGTAAAGAGTTAGGACTCCACAGCTGTGGGGCCCATGTATTATAGGTCCCGTTAAATGATTTATTAAGACCCCGCTGGGGGCCAACACACTCCTCGTGTTACGTCTCTTCGCGGTGTACACGCAGAACTTTACCTCAGACCGCAAACACGGCGTGTTTTGTTTTATGAATTTCTGAAGCGTCTTAACAGTGTTAGATGGTTCCGGGTTGTTGCGCAATGGGGCAAAAAACGGAGTGTTGAATTAGGAAAATGTTCCTGTTCTCATCATATTTCGTTCAGTGCATCATGTTTTATTTTAGAGATGGAACATTTTCCTTTTCGAACCTTTGTAGAAATTTGATTTCACAGCCCGCGTGAATGCGCTTTAATTCGGCTTTATATTCTGGAGCTAAGAGAAGACAGCTATGGCAAACTCGAGCCGAATGTTCAACTGTGATTGTTTTCAGCTACTGTACTTTGCTCTAATGTGGTTTCCCACACAGGTTTAATATCCGGATGTGCGTTTTAATTAAACGACTGCAGTTCTGTTGAAAATGAATTTAAACAGTAATGCCATGAAAAGCAGCTGGCAGTGTGCGTATTCTGAAGTAACCTAAATTAATGGATACTGACTTTCGTTTTTCATGGCCTTAAAAACAAGATTTAGTGGGTTACTCTGAAGACCAGCAAGAAAATATAATTACAAATAATAAATACAACTTTGCAGTAGACTAATAACTTGGGAAATGTAAAATGTCTATTGCCACTAAAATAGATTAATAATAATAATAATAATCTTACGGTAAGGCAGCTAATTTAACAAAGACCCTTATCTCAAAGGGAGACTGTGAGAATATGGATTTGCCTGTATGAAAACCCATCAGGACTAGATGACGAGTCAAAGCGCCTCTAACCTCAACTTTCTCCTCTCGGAGGTGGACCTTGCGGGCCAGCTGCTCCCGGGTGCCGACGTCCGGGTACTTGGTCTCTTGGAAGAGGCCCTCCAGCGCCTCCAGCTGCTCGTCGGTGAAGATGGTGCGGTGCCTCCGTTTTCTGCGGCAGTGCAGCTGGTTGAGAAGCTGCAGCTCGGTCCGCGACAGGCTGCCCACGTTCATGTAGGACATCATCTGGTGGGGGACCGGAGAGATCAGCACCGAACCCGGGCTGTCGTAGCCTGCAGGGCGGATGAGCGGACAGATATCACACCTGGGTGAGTTCAAATGATGGCAGCAATTAAAGTGCCACAGCCCGCACGGTGTTTATGAGTAATCTAAGTGGAAACGGATGCGTCATAGCAGAAAATTGGAAACTTTAGAATCATCTTTGCTGTTATGCGCTTGAATATTTTATTCCATGCGTACATAATAAACAAACTGTCATAATCTTCACTCGTGTACAGAAACAAGCCCCCGTTTCAAGCAGCCGCAGTTTTTGTAAACAAGTAGGCTGAGTTCAGTCATTAAGCAACAACATCGAAACGCGGAGTGACATTTAAGTTGCAGCAGCATCGAGCTCATCAAATCAACATGAGGACATCACACATGCATCTGACGCCAAATGTGAAAAGTGATTAGAAAGGTTTCTGTCAGTTCGTGCGTAAAATACAGTTGCTTTACACATGGGATTAAAAATCTTATTTTTGCCTTTCAAAGAAAGTTTGTTTTGGAAACTCAGATTTAAGGTCATCATAAAAACAAATAAAGTTTCTTGGAATCACAACCAGCTCTCTAAAGAAACATCATCACTGAGTGTTTATTGCACGGTGTCTGCAATAATCTCACTTCTCATTCTTGTTCATGCTCCTTAGACAAATATAAGAAAACCGATTTTGAAACACAAAGAAATAAGATAGATTTAAGTTGATGCTTTGACTCAGGAGTTTCATATCTAAATTGGACATTTTATTTGGTGAAACAATAAGAACACATATGAGGCTGTCCTACCTGCCGGGATGCAGGGGCACTGCTGCGGGCTGAGGCCGGGCACGGAGCCGCAGCACGGCATTATATCCTATCCTGGTCCCATTCATAGATTGAACTCCAGGGGGAGAGGGCCCGCATGTGCCCGGGTACAGTCCGTTGTAGTCGCTGTAGATAGAGTCTGTGAGGCCGGCGGACAGCACCACCGGGCCGCTGCGGTGCAGCAGCAGCGGCTCCTTGCAGCTCGGTCGGCCGGACAGGATGCTGTCTATGCTGAACATCCCCGCGGGCATCACACCAATCTGGGCAGCTCGGAAACGCAAAAAGGAGTAGACGGGAACGTGAAGACCGCTCAGTAAAATAAAATTTCCGTTCTACGTGGAAAAAAGTTTCCTAATAGTGCGTCATGACTCTGGAGGCTACTTTTCTTCCCTGCATGCGCGACTCCGGCTGTCTCGGGAATGCGGACTGGTAGTTTTAATGGGACCAGCTGAAAGCAGGGCTGGTTTTATCCGCTGCTGACGTCAGGGCAGAGCGGGGCTGCTCTGGGATCAGCTGCAGCTCGCGGCGTGAACGGCCACAGATCTGTGTATTGAGAATTAATTCAATTAAGATAATCCGCACTGTTTGCAGACTTTTCGAAACTGTTGCTGGGTCACAGAGGTTCTTCCTACAGAGTAATCCGATTATTTCCTTGTCAGCGAAGGCATCATAATCTATGGAAGACATTTACATCAGTGTTTACAAAACGGGGGCAGACAGGGCCCTTTTCTATCAGTTTATAACGCGGCACAAGCCTAAAAACGTCACACACAAATTCACAGTCTTCATATTATACTGGACCAGTAGGATTACAGTAGTGTTTCATACAATCTGTGTTAATAACTTTGGTCGGTGGAGGAAGGTTTACTGGAGTAATTCTACTTAACGGTAACTCGCAGCCTGCGGACAACTTTGTGCCAAAGTACTAAAGTTTTTCGGACCATGTCAGGCCTATACATTTTATACTCACTAGAAAACATGTTACTTTCCAGCTAATTTACTGATTTACTGATACAGGAACAAAAACTCTAGCCTACCTATATTTTAGGGTGATTTGTGTGCGGAGTCAAGTTCGGGTCTATTTCTGAACATTATTATTATTATTATTATTATTATTATTGTTGTTGTTGTTGTTGTTATTGTTGTTTTGCAGTATAAATACTGCCCATAGATTACTAGGCCTAAATGATAAAACAACCACTGGAACCTGCAGATTTACACGCACAACGTGTGTAAAAGTGAATTCGACATGCGCCTCTCTGATTCCCTTTGACTAAATGAATATTAACTATATTTCCTTGTCAGACAGAAGCCACTGAGCACAATATCTGGGTTCATCTCATTACTCACCCTCCGCTCACTGCTCCATGGGGAGCAGATCAGCGCGTTTCCTCCCCGGCAGCAGCTCCCTCTCTGCGGGTCAACAACGCCGAACATTTCCCCCCTGACCGGGATAAGATAACGGCCCATTATCGCCTCCATTCAGCATATTTACACGGCTAATCAACATGGGCTGAGTGGTGGGGCTGGCGAGGGGTGGTGGGGCAGCTGGCTGCTGTTGAGGAACGTGGATTCCCAGTTCAGACTTTAATGGGAATCACTGATTGTATTTAACACTCAACGGGGTTTTAACACATGCGCGCGTCAAGCTGACAGATAAGTTAGATTCGAAAATGTGCCGTTTAGATGTGGGAACTGATTAGCACGGAGCACACAGTGATTTCCAGATCAGTTTGAAGCGCATTGTTAAAACAAGTGATCTCCATCAACTTTAAAGACGAATTCCACATGCGCTTCTTTCCTGTGAAAAATAGCCCATAATCTCCATTATGTTGATATCCCGCACAAATACCACTACAGACTGCTGAATCGAAAAAATAGGCCTACTTTTTTTTTCAAAAAAGAAAGAAAAAATGAACTTTAGCCTGTTCTTTGCTCGATATATATGTATATTGTTTTTTTTTTTTGTAGTCTGCCTAATTCCTGACAATCCTTTCATCCTTTCACTTTGGTCTCATGGCCAACTTATAACATAAACTAACATTTTTGGCATTACGTTCTGAACACCTTTGTACATTTTATGTCAAAACAAACCACATCTGAACTGGAAATGCTGTAGCAGATTGTACACGCGAACGGTTGTGTCTTTGGTAACAGTTCTGTAGTTTTTCAAGTTCATTTAATGAACCTCAGTCTTCATTTTCTGTTTTTCTTCCCATTCTGTGTGGAGCCACAAACAGATTTTGCTTTTGCTGGAGTTGGGGAAATGAACAACACATTATCTTCACTGCGTTCTCTCTGTGTATGAAACACCACACGCCAGGTTCTGTTCCTATGTCCACCCGATTCAACTTCACCAATTACTGTTTGTTCAGTCATAAATAGTTTCATCCTTTCTTCAATACATATCTAACTCTATAAGGACCGAGAGTCTGTGTTTTGCCTAGAATTCCGAAACCTACACAACTGCCTCTCAAGCCTGATTGGTGAACCCATTCCCCCATCATCACCATTTTAAAAACTCATCCTACATCTCCATCATTAGACATGGCTTTTTCTTATTTTGCACAACAATCCCCCGAGGCAAAGAATCGAGAATCACAGTTTACATTAAATACAGATACAGTATAAAAATAAAGTCTCTAAACCATTAATTATCCTTCTTTAAAGAATTATGCACATCTAGTTGTTTTTCCAACAAATGGTTTAAAAGAGCCACATATAACTTACCTTGTTCTGGCAATATGCCACATGTGGCTGCGCTCCCTCTTATATGATATGATTTTATATTATAATATATTATATATTCGTTAATATTTAAATTGTGCGATTCGGGGCTCAGTTTTATTTTGGCGTCCTCTTGTTAAGTTTAAAGATCAGACTCACTCACCTCTTAATCACTTGTATAAGACTCAGGAGTCACCCTTAGTCTATTGGAGATGACTGTAAACTGAGGTTGAGGTTATTCATTCAATTCATAAATGTCTCTAGTAATATGAAAAGGAAAACAGGATTTTTAGATTTAAAATGAAATATAAAATGTATTCCCTGTCTACATCTCAAATAATTTACAGGTTGATCCAGTTTGAATGTAACACATTTTATTTCCATGTAATAGCGCACAATGATTTTCTCCTCTTCTCCATGCATGAATCTGGTAGAAGTCCTGTTTGTTGTCACCTTTTATTATGGAAACTTTTTTTTTTTGTTGCTGAAAAGCTGTTTGTGTAATGCAGTCACGCAGTGATACCAGCCAAGCAGAGAGAGGGAAAGAAAAGACACGTGGCCAGATGCTGTTATTATTTTCACATTTATTTCTATATTTCAACTTCCAAGTGGCAGTGAAAGGACAGAGTCAGAAGGGATTGCTATAAAACGAAACATCCATTTGAAATTAAAAGCTGTGGAAAAGTGCTGCAAAGGCAGCACTTATAGGTGAATAGAAGCATCAATCAGACTGCAGATGGAGGCTGAACACTTACAGCGCTACAATAGCTGATGCATCTTTATATATCAGAGTCCTGATCTGTAAAACCTGGTTAAACATGGCAAATAAAACAGGGAGACTTGGTAATGCATCCTTCCAAGAAAAGATAAATACATGGTGAGAGCTGTTCAGGCTTTTACACTGATGTCCTTTCACATGCGACTGCAAGAGTACTAGCATATTCATCATTTACATAATTACACCACCAGAAGCATAGCAGATAGATAGATAGTAGTTATGTTCAAGGGTTTTGAATTTATTCTTAAAGTGTATATGACCTGTATGGCTGATGTCTGAAATACTGTAGAGCTGGTTCACTTATAATGTCTCAGTTTCCTCCCAGCTGAAACAAGTTTGATGCTTATCACTCAGCTTAATGCTGCATTAAGGAGCTGTTTTGTTTCAAATATACCACTTTCCCACCAAACGTACTGTGGGTTACACATGGGTTGTTATACCTGGCTAAATCCACTTTTAACTGGCCTCTGATGGCAATTCCCAGTGCTGACCGACCTGACTCGGTTCTCTGGCAGACGAGCTTGTTTCCCCTCTGGCACGTCACATTTGACATCATCACTTTGGAGATGTCAAATACGTGCACCGGTAAACAGAGTTGTAAACAATGCATGATGGGAGATAGTGAGGTGATCTGTGTTATTTCTTCATATTTACTTTTGTTCCTCTTATAAAGTACAGAAACTCGGTGCAGACTGAACAAAGACAGATAGAATTTATGGCTGATATGACAAAGAATCACTGAAAGTACAACGGAGGAGACGAGCCTTCATTACCTCCTTGCTGGCAATTGTTGAAAGTGCAGCCCGACCTTTCGTCGTATGTGGGTCCAAAATAGATCACACACTTTTTGGTCAACTATAGAACATTTTGAAGATGATCAATGGAAAGCCCACTTTCAAATGTCCAGGGCAACGGTTGACTATTTGGTTGGACTCATTGCTCTAATGATAACAAAACAATTGACCACCTTTCAGAGGGCTACTGATCCACACCAGAGAGTTGCAAATGTTTTGTGGTGGTTAGCAACCCCAGGAGAATACTGCTCAATCTAAGCCGGTGTGGAAAATTACAAATGCATTGGTGAAAACATTGTATCTATGTTTCATGTCCCATCTGTCTGGACAGCATCTTGATGAAACAATCACAGGATTTAGAGAGCGTGGCTGCCCTCAGTGTGCTGGTGCTAGACAAATTCCGATCCTTGCTCCCAAGGACAACCCAGCCGACTACTACAAGAGGAAGGGGCGGCATTTGATTATTCTACAGGCTGTGGTGGACCACAATTTCTGGTAAGCATAACATTCTGAAAAACAGTTTCTGTTAGCATAACCGTGCCTGTAAAACAGGGTAGGTCCAAATATTTCTTACTGAGAGACCATGTGAGAATTACCTCATTACAGAGAACTTCTGATCAACACTGACTGTACACAGTCCAGCCATATACTATTTTCTTTAAATTTTTATTTATGCCTATCTTAGCTGTTCTATTCTTTTCAGTTTCACAGATGTCTACATCAGCTGGCCTGGACGGACCCATGATGCCAGAGTGCTTGCCAATTCAAACCTTTCCACTGCTGCAGAGGATCACCAGGGTGGTACTTATATATTTTTAAACTCTTACCAAGCTGTCTGTATCAATGTAATGTTCATTCCCTACAGAAATCTAAGACGGTAGATGGGGTGGAGATCACTGTGCATATCACTGGAGATGCTGCCTACCCACTAAAGAAATTACCGATGGAAGGATACACTTCAACCACACCCTAAGCTCAGCCAGGATGGCTGTTGAGAATGCCTGAAAGGATGCCGGAGATGCTTAATGAAGATTAATGACACAGAACTTACTTTAATGCCTAACGTTGTAGCTGCCTGTTGCATTTTGCATAACATATGTGAAATACGAGGGCAACACCACAGGGACGGACAATTTGTGTCAACCACACGTTGTGACGTCTGAGGGAAACAGACTGAACACTGCCCAAATCATCCACAGTACAACTGCAGCTAACATCATTGTTATCTGAGTGAAAAGTTGTAAATTGTATTGTTTGATGTATTCTTTTCATGCCTCAAATGAAATAAAAATCAAATAGAAAAAACCACTAGCATAAGTCATGCTGTGTTCGTGTAGTAATGC